TCGTTGTGTCATACTAAGAAAAATATATACATAAAAAGAAGAAGAAGCCCTGGTGTTTACCCCCTCCTGTGTGACCCTGGATGGTTGTAGGTGTACGAAAAAAATGCACTGACAAGTGTAGTACTCTACATTCATTCGCTGAAAAGTGTAATGAATCCATATAGCGTGAGCGAAAGGCTACCTTACCTGTATGTCTACGATTTCCCAGACAGCAAACATACAACGATATCTCCCCTCCCTGTGGGTAACAGGCTCAACAAGGCAGTTTGGTAGCCATCTTGTGTATCTATCTGTATGTTGTGATGGGAAGTTAACAGGAAAATCTTAGACTTCCGGCTGAACACTGACTTCCTGCTCGTTTTTGGTTCGGAACCGGGCCGAAAACCGCCTTTTAACTCTGAAATCGGAATCAAAACGCGCGTTTTCAACCCGACCGAAAGACTTTGCGCTCGCAAAAGCAGCTCATCGGTGACATCTCCAAACGTCCACAGGTGAGGCCCTGCACTCGTGTAGGCATGCTATGGAAGTGTTTAGACACAGCAGCGTTCTTGTGGCAGCCCCCACGGGTCCACGCCGCGAGAAAGCGTGCTCCCTTGCATTTGAATGGTGATCCATCTTCAACAAAAAAAGACAAGAGAGCAGCAGCAGCAGCAGCAAAAACAATTGTTGCGAACAGGCAGCCAGCATCAAGCAGCAAGCTGCCGGCCCTATCTATCCTCCTGGTCAGACTAGCTGACACCATGACGACCAGCGCATTGATGTGTTGCGTAGGGTATGGTCGCCCTCAGCGTACGTGTGTGTGTGTAGATTTCGTCTGCGGATCTTGTGGCCGCTGAATGAAGAAGAGGGAAGAGGACAGCAGTCTACCGCTGTAAAGAGTTTCTCTTTTTTTTGCCGGCGCTCCTCTCACTCTTCAAAAAAAAATTTAGCAGCAAGCAGCAGCAGCAGCAGCGGTGGCAGCCATAACTGTATCCACAGCCCGCCTTCATATAGTTAGGGACTACTTGTAACACCTGCCAGGCAGCGTGTCAGGGTTTCGCCCGTCCGCGTTGTGTTCAGGGTTGATAGGGAGTTTGGTTTGTCGTTAGGAAAAAGTGGAATGAGAAGAAGAGAGAGAAGATGTGGCGGGGTAGCATTCCACAATAAATTTTGGAAATTTGTTTGCCGGCAACGTTGTATGCATGTCATCATGGACCAGAGACCGCACGCTAGCGGACCTGTGCCCCCCTTTTTTTTGTTGCTGGCTGTGCCACGGTGCATGGACGGGGGACGCGGGCTGCCTGTGCAAAGTCCATAAACTAGTGTACTATTATTCATCATCTAGGGAGTCCTTGATTCCTACCTCGGCCTCTTTTTTCAGAGTATCGCCGCCAACACGGCATGATGTTCCCTGCTCCCCCAACACCGTGCACCCGAGGAGGAGACAAAGCGACGCATCCACTAGCAGATAAGATTATGCATACAGGCATCTATAAAATAGGCATCGTATTAGGTGAAGGTAGGACATGCCCTTTATTATAGTAAATCACCATACAAAAAATATCATTTCTGGCCTTTACCCTCTGCCGTTTATCTCTCCCTCACCTAACCTTGCGGACGGTCTCTTTCCGGCCCTCTCTGCGTCTGTCTCTCTCTCACCACTCTTCTTGTTGCTCTCTCTCTGTTTTCTCTCTCTGTCTCTCACTCGGACTCGGTACCCTTGTCGGACAGCATAATAATAGCTCGAGCCCCACATTCGAAAATGGCGTCCCGCGGCGAAGCGTTTCCTTTGGCGAACATGGCAGTGACCGTGGACAGAGTCGGTTCGCACTCCCGAACATCGGTATCCGGCAATCTCGAGGTGCGAATTTGCGCTCACCTTTATTTTTTTATGTATGCATATCAAAATTTTGTAGCGATGCTTGCGTGTCGAGTCGTCGTTAATTCCCTACCTCCAAATACTGCAGTCTGATAACTAACACGTACAACTCGATTCGTTACGCAGGCGCACAAGAAGTACATAGCACCGTCCCTGAAAACACGTGATCATATCCTAGGCTTCGTGTGGATAAAGACGTGCACGATTATTGCAGCTTCACGCTACGGATTGATTGGTCGTCTGTCATCAACTGATGATGTAGCCGTTGCGGTTTGCCATGACACTGCATGATGCTGCCGGCAGAGGAGTTAATGAGGAGGGATTTCTTGGATTTGCTTCTACGCTTGCAGCTATATGTCGGGCCTGGCGGCGGGCTATTTATTACATGGACGGCATCCACCTAAAAGGTAATTTGTAGGGCTGCGTTGTAGTCGGATTGTTGGGTTGTTAGTATTTTGTTGCAATACATACAACATGGGCCAACAGTCAGTTGAGGTGGTGTGTAGCTGAGCAACTCTCTTCTGTTCAATCAAGTACACCAAACGCATTTAACTTACCCAAGAAGACTATGTAGTAGCAAGATGCACAACTACTTCAAACACGTCGTCTGGATGGGCCCCTCTCTGAACGGTATCTGTCTAGGGCTCTCACAGTGCCTCTCTTGAACGATAAATCCAGACTACCCGGGCACACGTTGTTTGCGTCTCAACGCCTTGCGTTTCTATCTCTCGTCGGTCAATTGGTCGTGCAGGGTTGTATTATCCCAAACGCCCTCATCTCTCCGTCCCTCTAAACAGAACAATTCCTGGGCGGAGGGTTTCCTTTGTTGGTGTTTACACGGGCGTCATGTTTCTCCGGGGTTTTAGGTGCAGTCAGTCATGTGGGGTAAATCCCTGATCGCTGGTGCCACCGAACAAAATCGTAGTATTGTTTAGGGGCGTTATGTTGGCGACATCGGGTGAATCACCGTTTCATCCCCTCCACTCCCCAACAAGCCTGTTTCCCGATGGCTCACCGCCGCTAAACAGCAAGCCCGGAAGATTGTAAATTTGTGGACTACAACCTTTATTTCTCCAACATCCTGCACGCCCTCTCGCCCATGTTCCTCTTTGCATGTGCATTTGTTCTGGCCAGGTTTGTCGCCGAGGGTGCTGCGCTCGCCAGGAAGGAAACCAAGTAGTAGTATGGGGTATGTTTGGCTCAGCGAAGTCTGTGGAGAGTACTTACTGTAGAAGGCGTTCCCGGGACGCATAAAGTTGGTGGCCGGTTGTATCTTTGCGTGGGATATGTTAGCGTCGGATATGTCATGTATGTATCTATCCTAGGGAAAAAGTGCGGAGCCGTGCACGAAGTAGTTTGTAGTGAACTGCACGGTTCTTGTGCATCAGACGCGGCCACACGATCGCACTCGGTGTGGACCGTGTCGTATGTGGTTGATTGTGTGGGGTGCAGGGCTCGTTGTGTTTTCGGAGTCGGGTGTTGGGCAAGGTGTTAACTTCAAATTAATAGTATGTTTGGGGAACTCCGGAGGTGGCAGTGGCTTGCATGCACGGTGGAGCGAGCTCGAGCGGACAAAGAAAAATGGCAGGGGGGAGGGCGGGGGACCCGCCACGCCCTTTCGGTCAGGGGGACAACCCGCGTAGACATGCTCTGGCAGTCAAGTAGAAGCTTAAGTTCGAGACATACATCTCGAATTAATTTATATTGCTCCGGGCTACGACATCCCGAGGCAATGACAACTAGGATCCGTTCAATTTTGCTTCGTTCTGTGCAACAAGCGTAGCCTCTTAAGCGACCCCGCGAAGACCCCGCTGGGCCTTCCATAATGTCTTGTTGTGGTATGCACGCGTTATGAAGTCTGGTTGACCCGTGAAGAAAAAATCACTTGGTAGTAATCTTGTAGGATAACAGCAGCAGTAGCTGGTGCCTTTGGTATCGATAGAACTGAGGCTATCTACGTGGGTCCGATTGATCTGCGTCAAGAGGAGACATCCCTCTTTTAGTCCTTCCGTGTGGAGTTACAATCCCCCGGACGGGGAATCAATCATGTTTCCCCGAGAATGGTTCTCTCTGTTCCTCGTACACTTCTATTCCTAGGACAGTAGCCCACCCTGGAGGATCTGATACGCAGATAGATATATGCTATAAACCTCGGGGCTTGGAAGACGATTATCGAGTCCCAAGATCAAAAAAAGTATCGAGGATACGGAGCTCCAAAAAAACAACACAATTCACCCTCCCACACCTCTCCCTCGATGGCATCGTTTGACCTCTAAAAGAAAAGAAGGCAACTAAGGGAACAAAATGACGTGCAGCGCAAAGAAAGGCTGAACAGGGCCAGAAAAACAAATCTGAACGCGAGAAGAAAGAGAAGAACAAACAAACGAAAACAAAAGATACACAGGAAGATGCGTCGCCAAAATAACGAAAAAGCACATCGATCGTCGGAACAAAAGAACGAGGAAGTTCGGCGAAACGGCGAAAAGCAAGGAAGAGACTTGGTCGAAAGTATGAGAAAGGGACGTCGTCGGAACGAGAAAAAGGAAGGCCATAGCCTACGGAAAAAAATCCAAACAATCGCCATGACAGCGCGCGGAAGCTAACCTAGGTCTCCAAACACCGATAGACCGCAAACAAACGCTAAAAAACAGAGAGACCAAACGTTCCGTAAAGAAAGACAAGCGCTCAAAAGCGACAAATAGCCAAACATTCCGTCAGGGAAGAAAAAAAGAGGAAAGATAGATGTCGTAACACCAAAAAGAAGGCCGACAGAACCTACGGGAAAAACACAGAAAATTTAAGAAGCAACCAAGCATCCTATCTCCATGAGGGCACGCGAAGTCATCGGTCATCAAGGAATCGTCCGCTACGGGACATGTCGACGCTGCGAAGGATACCCTTTACACCCTTGAGTAGTGTCAACCCCCCGCGAGCTTCATTGTTATCTCGTGACAGAATTATTCTTTCTTGTTTCTGCCAGATCGAACCGGATGTCAATCCACGCAGCAGGAAGAGATACAAGAGCACCAGGAGAAGAAGTAGAAAGACGGATTTCGGCTGCCACCGTGATTGAATCCCTTCTAGCGTGAAGGAAGCGTCTGTAGCAGGCGTTGGCCGTACCCTATCCTAGGACCACATAAAAAAAAACGGGCACCACTCTGAGCAATCATGGTTTGACACAGGAAACCTTTATTTGCAAAACCGTGACGAAGGATTATTTATTTAGTCAACATGCCCAGAGACGTCACTTCCCACATTTTCTTCTCCTGCGTCCGACCCTTGCGGTGACCCCTGGCCTGACGAACTACTTGGGTCAGACGTCCGGGGGCAGATCACACTCACACCAGGCTCAACGTAAACGGCAACTCCCGGGTTGGATGCGGCGATTCGTCCGGTTACAACGAGCCTTACTGGCGCGGGATATCCGGGAACGCCGTCATTGAAGGCGCCGATCAGCGTCTCGCGGTTGTCCGTCCGTTGAAGGTAGCTGGAGATCTCGTGGTGCGTGCTGCTCTTGTCCTTGCCTTGTTCGCAGCAGGCGTAGTACGCTGGGCACGACTCCGCGACGCGCAGGTAGAGCCCGGCCTCCGAGTGCTTTACAACCTGGTTCTTGGGGCACATTTTCTTGAGTAGTTCGTTGTCCGCCACGCGGACGAGGCGCACGAACTGAAGGTCCGTGCTGTGGTTTCCAACGTTGAGCGAGTCGAGCGCCTGCCGGTGGGAATCGTACACGACTGTCTTGCCCCAAACGGGAATGTCGTTATGGGCAGTCCGGTACGATGTCTTGTTCCTAGCGCACAAGTAGGGCAAGTCGTCGACGGGGTTAACCTGAACCCGGGGCAGGGAACGAACGTGATCACAGGGGGGGGGGTATTGGGGACCGGAGCACAGACAGGGGTTTTGTGAGGAGCCACGAATGGTCTCGAAACCAACACTTAGTGCTTGAACAATCACAGCAGTGGCTAAGACACAGAACGGGGGGGGGGGCGCCCTTGCCTTCACCGTGTAGTAAGGGTAGAAAAGATGGTGCTTGGCCGAATATCAAGGTAGTACAAGTAGTAGGTCTTGTGGCTGCGATGTCGGCGACGTCGACTGGACTAAATATTAAGTTAAAGGACACCTGAACCTGGCAGACACAAATCGACAAGAGAGAATCTCATGAACGTATAAGGCAATATACGTACCTACCCGCTTTTATTATGTAACTTCGGCAGGTATCCCACCTTGATGGCCCACCCCATTTGTTCTGCAATTGCTTGGGCAGCTCCCAGAAGAGCCCGCTCGTCAGGAGTAGTACCATCTACGCGGCCGCCTTCGCGCAAGTTGTTGGTCCTGGTGTTGACGTCTGCGAGAATGCGATGAGGCGTGGTGATCTCGGGGATGCCATCCGGTAGAGAGCCGTGTGAGATGTACGTGATCTCCGACGCGTCACCGTCGTCCTGCGTGGTGGAGGAAGGCGGTGCGACTGAGAGGTTTATGGGAGGTGAACCGGAACAGCTATAATACTTGCGCTCTCGTCCAAATACAAAGTATATTCAGATAGTAGGGCGACAAGAATGCGTGAACGACGCGATTGACTTACAGTAAAGAGTCCCTTCCTCCATGCACCCTCCCATGCTTCCTCGACGCGGGTGGTGACGGCACCATGATGCTCCGACGCGACGAGAAAGGCCTCTACCTTCCTCCCCAGGTTTAGCGCACCTTCGACTACGCCATCCGACTCCGCGTGCATGGACACCACTGTGTCTCCCGCCTTGGTCCAACTTCATAGCGATGGGGTAACGAAGAGAATGGCACGGAGAGGACGGGGGGGGGGGGGGGGGGGAGGTCGCAAATAACGATACATGGATGATTGGCGTAGCAATGAATGATATTCTCCTTGAATAAATCTTGATGCAATTGACAGCCACAGAACCTCCACCTACATCATCAACGTCAGGGGCCAGCCGAGCACCTCCACCTCCCCACCCCTACTGCCCCGTCTGGCGCACCAAACACACATGCGCTTAACTACAAGAATAAAAGTCGAGTCCCACCCAACCTCACCGCTGTATTGCGAACTGTACGACATTGTCATGGTATCCTCGGGTAACCCCCTTGTGAGGTACGTCACCCATGAGTGGCGAAGGGATACGCCTGCCGCTGGCGGTACTCCACGTACTTCCATCGCTCGATCCTGCCGAAAGTTTGCCTGTAAAGCTCTGCGGCGTTACGGTGTCGTTGCAGGTGAAGTTCATGCCACCACCGTCACCGCTGGCGTTGTGGTGAGCCACGATGTAGTGGTCGAGTGCGCCGCCGATGAACTTCTTCTTGCTTTCAGCGGTCAGCCCGCCTCCCCGGGAGCCGTATTCGACAACCAACCCGTGGTCCTCGACGACCATCCCTAGTCCGGGCTGCTGTAGGTGTTCTGATTTACCCGGTGCACAGCAGGAAAGCCCGACCAGTACAGGAAGTTAGGGTTTGTTTTGAGTATGGGTAGAACAACACCTTCATGAACAATCCGATTGCGGCATTGCCCGTGCGGCCAACATCAACCCAGCATTCCTCCCGAAACCTACTACTACTACTACTCGTGATGTCAAGGTTTGTTTTGAGTATGGGTAGAACAACACCTTCATGAACAATCCGATTGCGGCATTGCCCGTGCGGCCAACATCAACCCAGCATTCCTCCCGAAACCTACTACTACTACTACTCGTGATGTCAGACATCTTCCAACCGATCAAACAAGCTATATTACTCACCCACGATGCAGCGGTGGTGCTTGTAGATGGGGACAGGCAAGGACACCAGAACTGTTCCCTCCGGGTGCAACAGTTCTTTGCAGACGTGATACAGGAGCCCTTTCATGTGCACCTGGGCTGACGGGTTTTCCTGGAGCAGATGGTCGTGGAGACCGAGGGGGACAAATATCAGCTTCGCTAGACCGTTCTCTAGCTTCAGCACCCCGACGTCTTGGTCACTGAAGCCAGAACTCAGTGGAGTGGACTCGTGGATGCAGGTGCTCGCAATCCTGTCGAAATGAATGCACGAATATGGGGGAACACGAACAACGCAGCACCAGCAAAGAGACGCGAATAGGACAGGAACGGGAACGTAAGTAAACTTACAAATCCGCACGCGCTGTTGGACGATCTGGCATACGCGGAGAACACTTGAATGTACCAGCGCGGATGTCACCTGCGTGCGACCTTAACGTCATTCTCTGCGCCTCGCGAAGAAGGTAGCGGGTTGACGGCGTTCTTCTTCGGAGAGTCACCCGCCTTCCCCTTTTTTTTCGCTCTCCCCTGCCCGGTGCGAGATGCCGCGCCGTCGTCGTCGTCGTCGTCGTCGTCGTCTTGGGATTGCCGACGCTTGGAAGCCGCCTGCTTGCACTCCCCTGCCCGGTGCGAGATGCCGCGCCGTCGTCGTCGTCGTCGTCGTCGTCGTCTTGGGATTGCCGACGCTTGGAAGCCGCCTGCTTGCCGCCCGCAGCCGCCGTTGCCCGACAGTCCTTGCAAGGGCGCGTCTTCTGCATCTCGTTTTCCGTCGGAATAACGGTCAATGCACAGCCCCCGCAATGGACAATCTTGCACTTCGGGCAGTAATACCTGTTGAGAGCCGTCGACGAAAGGCGTACCCACAGAACACACAGAGGGCGCGCCAAAAAGATAATTAATTGTAGGTCAGAACAGATCGGTCGAATTTCGCCTTGTGCGAGAGGGCGCGCATGTGGGGATGGTGTGGTTTACGGAATGGGAGGAGGGTGATTTTCTTAAGAAGCGTTTCGTTGGTTTATCTGCATGGTGAATGGGGTAGATTGGGTCCACATAATCACAAGTCCGAAAAAAAACGCCGCCGGTCAGGAGCGCCCTCTTGCGCAATTGTCATGAAGGCCACCTACCCTGATGTTGCCGGTGGTTTGCAATGACCACACAAAACGGGGTTATCCTTTCCCACACTGTCGTCCCCCTTCCGCCGGCGCTGTTTGCTGCGTTGCTCCTCGCCGTCGTCGTCGTCGCCCTCCCGTCGGCGTTCCTTGCCGGGTTGTTGGTCGTCGTCGTCGTCGTCGTCGTCGTCTTTGCCCTCCGAGCCCTTGTCACGAGGAGGAACCATCTGTAGATGGCGTAGGTTGACGTCGTTCAGCACAGCACCGTGTTTCTTGTCGTACTCCACAAGATACTCCCTCAGGCCGGGGTCTTTGCTCAGAACCTGACACAAACAACAAGGGAAACATGCACGCAGGAGGTTATTGTCATCGACAACCAGACGAAACGAGAGTTGTGCACAAGCTATGTGTCGGAACGGACATCATACGGGGCGATCATCCTAAAAATCGCATCCTGTGCCGAAAGGCACACCATGGACATGAAGTTGAAAACTCCCTCGTACGTTAGTGAGGACGTATAAAGGATTGATTGGGAGACTGGGCCAGGAACGGGTTTACACAACCACCATTGGCATGCGAAACACAACACAGTTAGTTCGGGCTGGGTCAGAGGGTGATCGGTATGTTTGCGTCAAATAATAATGGAGAAAGGACCCTCCCTTTCTTTGTTGACTCGATGAATTAGCAAGGCTTCACGCGGACTGCTGGACATAACAATACGCTAGAGAAACGAGTGTGATGGTGTACAACCTAGTAGTGACAGATAGACTTGCGTCCCGTTAGGTCGTTCGTGATCGAGAGGACGGGTTCTTGGGGTTTTGCAGGCACATGTGTCCTTGCACACCTAAGACACATACATACGGCTCATGGGCCCACAACCTACATGGCAGTAAAAAAAAAGGTGTTCTGCCTGTTGTACGCACAGAAGAGCACCCAATTTTTCGTGTCAAGGAAATAGAGCGTAGCACTCTAGGTCTTCTGTTGGAGGCGGCCGAGGCTAGAAAATCACTCGTCCCCAGGCTTACGCCGGACGTTGACTCACCGTTCTAAGCTGCTTCCCTGGATTGGTCAGGAGCACCTCTCTTTCGGTACCGGACAGGGCGGGAGCGTGTGCAGGAAGTTTTGATTCCAGCGCCTTGATATCCCTCTCAAGTTGCGACAAGTGGGGCTTGAGGTAGTTGGCGTAGTGTCCGGGCTTTGCAAAAGCAAGGTTGTTAACCAGCCTGCCAAGACCAACAAGTGTAATACGCGAACACGTCAACCAACAGCATCAGTGGTTCTGTATGTATAAACGTTTATTCTGGTGAGTACATCAGCGGTATATGCACGAAAAAAAAAAAAGTGCTGAAATAATGGAAGATTTGTGTCGTTGCCAAAAGTGCAGCCCGACACTATTACCCATTCTGTTGTAAGGGAAACAAACCACTGCAAAAAAAAACGAATCATCGGCCGTCGAGTTTGGCAGTAATGTCATCAAACTATGACCGGAACCCCACCCACAACAAATAATCTAAACAGTCCCCCCGTTATGATACAAGTCCGTCCGGAGGTAACCCAAGCCTCTTGAATCAAAACCTAGACGAAGAAATCACGCTCACTCACTCCTTGAGCGGTACCGTCCACAGATGCGCAGGCACGATGCTCTCGACGCCCGCGATCCAAGACGTTGCCGCACTTGCTTGAGCTAAGGCGGCGGCCTTGTCTATCTTTCCGTCGTTACCTTTAGGGCACCTACCGCATACAAACGACAAGAAAAAAACGAAAAAGTTAGAAGCCAGAATACCGTGGTCATTGGTCTCCCCTCTACTTACTGACATATACATACAACGTACGTACGGTGTCTAGAAATTTGTCTGGCCGGAGAAGAAGTGTTGCTATTGTTGTGACGAATTGATGTACACATGACTAGCGTCGTGCAGGTCACGGCAACATGAGCGTGTCGAGGCAGGTTGTTCGGGGCAGTTAACGTTGCGGGGATTGAAACGGGGGGGGGATGTCATGGGCGTCAAAACGCAGGCGCATGGTGAAATGCGCCGGGGTCAAATGTTTCTCATCGACAGCTGCAGTGTATATATATCGTACCGGGCGAAGACCTCAATGTACATTGCTTGTTCGCCAGGCTTCTCGGAGAGACTGGTGAACTCCTTGGTCTTGAGGAAGGTCTGCGAGATGCGTTCATGACCCGCCAGCTTTTGCTCGGTCATGGCCTTCAAAGACGCCATAGCTTGAGTGCTAAAATTGGCGGAGATCAAGAGGTGGTTGCGTAGCGTCTGGGTGCTCGGCGTAACGCCTGGTACCTGCAGCGACGAACGAACACACAGTTGCAGTCCGTCCAACAAGCATTGTTACTTTAAGTATTTATTATTATTATTGCACTCCACGATCGACGCAGGATCCGCATACAATTGAACAAGTAAAAATTACCGCTCAGGAACGGTTGCGTCACGATGGTTATCCGACCTGAACTCATTCATTGAACATTTACCCTACTTTGGGGATCGTCGCTGCCTGTTTGGAAATCATGTAGTTGTTGTATTTACGCCGCCCACGTTTGTCAGGGTCAGGCAGCCCCACCTTGGCCCAGCACGCCTTCAAGTCCTTTGCAGTGACTGTTTTCTTCATCTTGTGTCTGGGTCGTGACCTGTTCTGCTCGTCGAGAACATCCTGTATCATGGTGCCGAAGAAGAATACCTGGTCATACGTCGTGCGCTTGGCGTGCGTTTCGGAGCATTGGTTGCAGGCTGCCGCGCATCCGAAAAAAAACAAACAAACGCAAAAAGAGGCGAATTTTGGTGCAGGGCGCGTTAACGGCACCAACCAGTAAACACGCCAGGTTCGATCACATGACACAAATAAATGGTCAACATGAAGGGTCGGGTAAGTAGTCCCGAACGCAGGTTGAAAGCGAACGGGACGGGGTACCGTGAGGAGAACTGCGAAGTACCGTGAGTTGGCCATTTTATGTCGTGAACAACACGCAGGGGTAGTAGCAAAAAACACGAACAAAGGTGAAAATGATCGTTGCGACAACAACCGCAACGAACCACATGTTGTTGTATGTACTGAACATGGGACAGAAAAAGGAGCAGCAGAGCACAGCAGCAAGAGCACCAGCAGCAGCAGAAGCAGCAGCAACTACCATACTACTACTGCTGCTACCAGTCAGTGTACATATATTTTCAACTGCATATACATCTGTGTGACCACGGGTTGGAGTAAACAGAACTACTACTACTAGTGCTGTGAGCACCGATTTCAAGTGAAGACAAAAAAAAAATGTATACATATATAGTCTAGACTAGATATATAAATGAACGCAGTCGTAGTACACTTGGGTTTATTGCGATGCAAACGCTGAACGTACACTCGGAGTAGTACGTCAGGAGACAGAGGGACTATCCATTCTAGACAACACGACTTTACCCACACGACCACTACAGCAGCAGTCGAAGGGGAATAGGTTAATTGCTACAATACCTACAGCAGCAGTCTTACCGTCCGAGACAATCTTCTTCGTGTAAGGGCACGTGATGTCACGGTAGCATGCGCATTTGATGGTCTTCTTCAAGTCACCACCGTACACTTCCTTCGCCGCCAAGAGTCGGTGGTTACCGTCCAACACATAGGCAGTCATCGTGGCCGCCAGTTCCGCGGTCATAACCTGACCCTTCTGGACTTCGGGCAACGTCACCTGCGGCACAGCTGTAGGCATCCAACCCATTTCCGTGATGCTTGCCACGATCGCGGTCACAGCAGCAGGGCTACGCTGCCTACAGTGTTCCGTAAATCGTATGTTCGCCAGGGGAATTTCCCACACACCCAACTCCAGGTCTTTCAACACGGACGCGACATGAACATCAGAAGTCGCCGAGGAAGAGCTCCCTCCACCACCACCATCACCACCACCAGGCTCAGAGCCCGCCCCTTCAGCTGCTATCGCTGCTGCTGCCCCTCCTCCTTCATCGTTGTTCCCGCTCATCCTTACTGCGACAGCAAAAAAGAATGAGCTCCTCGTTCGTCCTCCTTCCTCCTCCCTCCTCCTCCTCCTCCTCCTGTAGCTAGGTGCTCGTCGTGTTCGAGCCTCCGCCTACTTTCGTTCGTATCCAATCACGGACTCTAGTCTCACCCCCCAACCTCCTCCTCCTCTTGTCGTTCGAGTACTGTAGCGCCACGCCCGTGGTCAACAGGTTCACAGCAGTGTGCTTCGAACAGCGGCAGCGGAGCAGCAAACAACAGCTACAACACCTGGCAGCACCTACGCACCAAACCCACCCACAAACCAGCAGCATCAGCAGCAGCAGCAGCAGATAAACCAAACGCAGCAGCAGCACCTCGCAACGCAGCTCCAGCACCACCTGTCTATCTGTGCGACTGATGATGATGATGAGGAGGAGATAGATGTTGATACATCTACAGGAGGAACATCATCTGTTTTTCTGCCATCTGCCCCTTCGCAACAACGCGGCTCCAACCTGGGGGCTAATCACCTTCGTAGTCCGAGAGACACCTTCCTGATTCCCTCTGGATGCATGCTCGATAGAGGAATCGTCCTTTTGACACCCTAGGCTGCACTCCGTAATCTCGCAGCATGTAAATAAAGTCCAGTTTGATTCAAACGCACAACGGTGTTGCCTGGAATTGAAATCAAGCCGGGAGAAGCCCGTTTAGACTTTTCCCCACAAAACGGAGTTCCGAAAAGTCGAATTTGACTTATATGAATCTTTTCGGGGGTCATGAAGCACGCAAAACATTATGCCAGGTCCGGAATAAAAGAAGGTCGTCGAAAAGGTTCTTTTGATTCATATAAATCAAAATCGACTTCCTGAAGTCGTCCGAACTGTGAATTAATCATTCGGGGGGTTGTATACCCTCATCTTAACTCGGATGCACAACGATGTGCGCCCGAATCAAATCGCGCCCGTCAGAAGGGCTTTCAGATCTTGACGGAGATCCGGCATGTCAGCCTTCCATCTAATTGCTCACGCGGGCACGCGCCCGCGATGTAATATATCCCAGCAGGATGACTCTCACGCAACACGAACGCGCGACACCCGCCCGTGTGCCACAAAGAAGCGCACATCCTCGCCCACACCGAGTAGTGTTGAAAACGTATCATCCCGTCATTTTCTCGGCACAGCAGCAGCAGCACAGCAGCAGCAGCACAGCAGCAGCAGCAGCTACAGCAGCAGCAGCAGGCTGCTGCTGAAAAGTGCAAGCATCCGAGAGAGAGAGAGACGCAGCAGCTACTTGCAGGAGGGTCATCGGCAGCTGCTGCCGCGTCCGCGTATGTGCAGGAGGGGCTGCATATTTATCTTCGCGGTGCTCTACTACTACTCCTGCTGCTGCTGCTGCTGCTGCTGCGTACCTGGCCCTGCTGCTGCTGCTACAACAAGAACAACTAACCCTCGTCCTGCTCCTCCTACTCCCCCGCCTACTACTACTACTGCTACTGGTAGGCGCATGGTGCTCTCCGCGGGGGCGGCTTCGTTGTTCGGTCCAGCTACCCCTGTAAAGGACGCTGCAGAGGCGAAGAAGCAGCTGCTACGTACAAAGAGAGCTGGTCGGAAGGGCAAGCGCCCGCTTTTTGTCGCCCCGGGGAACGACGAGGCGGGTGCCGGCGAAGAAGGGGGGGGTGGGCACACGCAAACTCTGAAAGCTTCCAAGAGGAAGTGGCCAGAACCGTGGTCCCCGGAAAAGCTGAACGGGTGGCTCCATAACGAAGCGTCGAAGAAGAAGGGGGGCGTTGGGGGGGCAGGCGGCAAGGGAAAACACAAGATCGCCCGTTGCTGCGGCCTAGATTGCGCTTTGCGGTTTTGCAAGCCAGATGACGAAGCCGGGGACGATGGTTACCACGGAGGAGGTGATGATGATGATGACTACGATGTAATGGCTACTACTACTGGTGCTGCTGTTGCTGCTGCTGCTGCTGCTGGTCAGCACAATTGGGAGTACCTGCGAGCGGAGCAGGACCGCTTCGCGAAGCTAACTCGAGAACCGGACCGGAAAGCCTTCGTGATCGCCCAGGTCCCCCCTAAAAAGCTGGCAAAGGGTAGCATGATCGCGGCCAACACCGTCGTCTGCAACACAGCATTTACGAGATTTTTCGGCGTTTCCGAGACCCTCATCAGTTCGTGCAAGAAGACCCCGAAGGCCCAGGCATCGAGCAGCGTACACAGGTAGGCGACTTCTTCATCCTGCTGTTTAATGGTGATCATTAAGTACGTGATGATTATGTATGTATGTAGACTTGTATAATATGTATGAATGGATGCATGTCTGTATGTATGCCATGTAGTAGGTATATGTATTTATGTAGTAATTGTATGTTGTATGTATTGTATGTATGTTTGTATGTATGTATGCATGTATGTATGTAGTTTGTTGTAGTATGTTCATACCTCAAAACACTTACTACAAGTAATTTTGTAACGCCAACTATATATACATATATAATAATGCTGCTGCACAGGGCAACAAGCCTCACAGCTCTCTCTCTTGTTTTACCTTGCTTGGTTGTACTTCAAGACCTAAATACTACTACTACATACCGTATACTTGCTGCCTTAATGATGTAACATTCATCATAATATTATGTTATTTAATTTGTGTGTGTACTACTACTACTACAGTACCCTGCTTACTAAACCTACAATGAGCACGAACTTCATGTTTCATGCTGGATAGTTTCATTCACCAACTAACGGTTGCCTGTCCCTCTGCTCTGTCTGGGCCTTGCTGCGCTGTCTGTCGTTGTTTGGTGCTTTCTCTGGTCTAACTGGATGTAAGGGCTTCAATCGCGTCGACGCGAGACCGTCCAAAGTTGGAGGGAGTGGTTGCCTTCCTGCACCGCCACGAAGACATGTATGGGCAGAAGATGCCGAATTCCGATCAGAGCTACCTCTACCTCAAGAGCAAACTCGTGAGCAACCCCAGGCGTGTTTGATGTACTACCCAAGACTGCACCACGTACGTACGTATCTTAGACGTCCTGTACGGCCTGTACAAACATTATGAGTGAGTATGAATGAATTAAATCTGTGCGTGGTTGAACAAAGGAACCATCATCATCATCATCACCACCGTACGTACAATTAGAAGAGACCAAAGATACCCACTGCCAACAACGCGACAAAATCTCTGAAAAGTTTATATGTATGTCATGAAATGTAGGACAATGACGACGACGGTGGTGGTAACGTTCCGACTACTACAAGTGGAGTACTTTTGTACTACTACCTACATACAAACAGTTGACTCGTGACACATACCAATACATACTACATGCATAATTTACAGCCTGTATTTCGTGTAGTTCGTTAGGATAATACAGCAATTACATACACACATACATACACACACACACACGCTGACTCGTCGCACTCACCGTCACCCAATACTAACCACCACTCAACCGTCGAATCAACAAGGAGCTGTACGAAGAATACTCCAAGAACACGCGGGAATTGTACGGGCAAGACCCAGCGAGTCTTGCCGAGCGTTTATGCTCGAAGAACTACTTCAACCAGGTGTGGAGCGCCCACTTCGGGAACCTCAAGTTGAAACCGAACGGGGATTTCATGCTGTGCGAGATCTGCACTCTTCTTAAGGAAAAGATTCATGGGCAGGCCGGTTCGAGAGGCGTTCTAGACGAGGCAGAGCGGGAAAGGCACCAGTCGGTGTACAAAGAGCACCTCCAGGTAGGAATTAACCCCGAACCAAGCGGATTGTTATCTGGTCGTCGTTGTGTGTGTATAATAGTTTGCACTGCTCGCTGGTGTGCTGCGGCTGCTGCTGCTACTGCAGCTAGCTGTGGTTTCATTTATGTATGTATGTATGTACATGTAGTAATTGGTCGGCACACAACAAATTGATTGTTGATACTCCCTTAAACATTTGCTGCATCTATCTGCAATCAATCGCCCACGATAGGGTCTACATCTCATGATGAGGTCGCCGTCCGTCGTCGTCGCCGATCGCCCACGGTTGATACTACATAGTATATACAACAAGTGGTCAACCCTCGTCGTCGCCGTCATTGTCCGTTGCGTATCTTGTCCAGGATGTGGAGAGAGATCGCATGTATGGTGCAAGACTTGAGAACCAAGCTGCCGTGGCGAAGAGCAACGGCACCCCGTGGGAAACGGTGTACCTTCAGGTGGACGCTGCCAACCAGAGCAACTTCGCTACTCCGATCGGCGCTTCGCAGGCTCATGGAGTCGACGACAGGTAGGTGCGGGTTGAAATGATACCCACCTACCTGCCGTGCCGATAGTATCCCGGGTACGGCCAACCAATAGTCAGTCTTGTATTATACAGCTAATATAATCAATATGTATCTAATCCCGCACATTACCTGCCGTGCCGATAGTATCCCGGGTACGGCCAACCAATAGTCAGTCTTGTATTATACAGCTAATATAATCAATATGTATCTAATCCCGCACATTGCCCCGATTCGTTGCAGGGGTTACGCTGAACGCCAGAAGATCTACGGTGCGCTGGTGTCAGGCATCATGATGCAGGTTTTCATGATCCCGCAGATCCTCGGCACAGGTACATCTATCTACTTATTATATATTATTATCCGTCTCTGTCAACTTTTCACTCTTTCTATCTCAAAACAGAAACAACATTTGCGAACCACGTACGTACGTAGGGTTAGCACGTTACCGCTAGTATTCCATTTCACGTATAATATGTTCACTGTTTGTTGCTTCTGCATTATTTGTTTTTTTGCATGTCGAAAGCTCGGCGTGTGTGCGTTGTTAACAACGTCCTCGCGTCGCCATGAGGCATAGTCTACAAGGTAACGACCACATTATTAATTTGATTTATTGGTTTCACCACTTAATGCACAACAGGCAGCAACATGGTGTGTACGACGCTGTTCACATTGTTCATGGAACTCACCCTCCAGTGGAAGCATTCGTTGGGGGATGTCTTCATTCAGATGGACAACACGGTGTCCGAGAACAAGAACAACTTCATCATGGGGTTTCTAGCGGCATTGGTTGGGAGAGGGGTGATGAGATCCGTGACTCTGTGCTTCATGATGGTCGGGCATACCCACATCCAGATCGACCAGGTCTTCTCGTGGTAAGGGCGGCGTTCTTCTCCTGAAACTATTATAGGTATTCCAGCACCAACCCGTGTGACCTCGCGCGATGGGCCCAAGGCGTGGCGAACACGTGACCCACCACGTAGTCGAACTCTCACTGCCGCTCGCTGTCGTCTTGTGTTCTTTTCCAATACTACCACAGGATATTTATGGGTGATAATCTGTATATAGATGCTGCCTTCCCAACAAATAATTAGACAGTGGACGACTCGCTCCGTGCTCCTCGTTTCAGTATGCTAAATGCACGTAGTATCTCTGTCTGTCCGTCTGTGTTGCCGTGCGATCGGACAGTTTCGCCCGTAGCGTTAAAGGCTGCGCGGTGTTCACACGAGAGCACCTAGCAGAATTCTTCGAATCAGCCTACAAGACGCTCCCGGTGAAGTGCCGTACTCTCGAGAATCTCGCCAATTTTAAGGATCTAGTTCAGCCCGTCACGAGGCGAATACCCAACATCACGAAGTTCCAGGCCTTTAACATCTCCAAGGAAGGAACAGCGATCGTCGCGAAGGTGAAGACGAAGTTACACCACGATGACTGGCTAGGCTTCAGCGCTGACGGCAAGACGGTGGGGACAGGTGCCGGCTTCACGGGCTGGCGCCTAATGCGCGAGCGAGATGTGCGATTGGAGGAGACCCCGTCGTATCTACTCAAGACCGTGGACGAGGAGATTATTCGTAAGATCCAGACACGCCAAGAGGCATCCTGGAAAAGGCTACCGGCGTTCGTTAGTCTCGGTGAGCTAAGTAACTCATCGTCGTCCCAGGTGGAATGATAGGAGAAGATAACAAGTGTATATACCTGTATAGACTAACACGCTTACTATCGACGTGATGATGGCCGTTCGGTGACCTCGACACGACTCGTTTGTTTGTGGTTCGACAGACCCGGAACAAGTGAAGGCACAACACTTGGATAGCCTGCGGGTGCTCAGAATGCAAGGCCGCAGAAACTTCGACCTAGAAACCAATTGGCTGCCGGATTCTTTCCCCGCCGATGATGACGACGACTCAGAAGACAGAGAGGAGGATGATGGCGACATCCCAGGAGGGGCAGACATCGATGGTGTTGGTGACGAACCTTTCGATAGCTCTGACGACGACGCTGACATGTTGACGTCGTCGTATGTGGATAACCGCGAGCGATCCCTGAACCACGAGAGTGGTGCCAGAAGACGTCAACAACGGAAACAGGGGGAGGAGGTATCGCATGGAGCGGTAGGTTCTTTCAGCTTTTTCAGCGATCCCTGAACCACGAGAGTGGTGCCAGAAGACGTCAACAACGGAAACAGGGGGAGGAGGTATCGCATGGAGCGGTAGGTTCTTTCAGCTTTTTCTTGGGTTCAGCCGCCCCTCTGTTGGTGGGGAAAGTGAAGGACACGCGCCAACAATCGGGACAAGAGGAAGAGGTTCTACTTCACTGGTATACCCCTAGCAAAACGTTGGTCGCCAACGCGTCGAGCACCGCCTTTGACACCTATGCTGGAGCAATTTTCAACGCGGCTTACCGGGTGGAAGTGGCCGGCCAGAGAAAGAAGTCCTACGTGGAGGACATGTCGTGGGAGCCAAAGAGCGGTATAGTCGCAACGTGCCCTAACCTCATATCGGGCGGGAAGAAGATACCGTCTCCAGTTAAGAAGGCACTCAAAAGCGCCGCGCGCAGCCAAGGCCAGCCAACAGACGAGCAGAAAGATGGGGAGGAGGGGGGAGAGGACGATGTCGCTCATGGTAGACACCCTACAGTCGAGAGCAGCAGCAGCAGTTCTGGTGGTGGTATTATTAGTGCTAGGGGGGCTAACGTTCGCAGGTCTCCGAGCGGCGGGGGGGGGGGGGGGGGGCGTGGTGACGGTCGTTTGTCGACGCAGTCGGTGGAGGGAACAAACTCGGAGGTGGAGGAAGAGACGGGGGATGTTGGGACCCTCCAAGGAAAGGAAATGCACAAGGAACGTTCGGCGGGGCATCAAAACATCGATACGGGGGGCGCGGGCGTAGAGGCTGCCCCCCGTTTAGATGAAGTTTTGCCGAAACGCACAAGCACTCGGGGCCTAATGCCAAGAAGAACTTGGGCCGAGGAAGGGTAGAGCGCATCCTTTAGACAGTGTTATTGTTGTCCTGTTGGCCTCGAGTTTATTGAGAGTCCTGCCTGTCGGGCACGTCGTCGTTTTTCTCATGGAAGTACGGTCTCGTTCGTGCGTAGTCTTGCCGTGGTTGTCAATACGTGACATGGTTACATTTCTTGCCGATGGGGGTTCTTGCAGATGGGGGTGCTCCCGGCCCGAGACTTTGTTGCTGCTCGCCTTTGAGTCTCATACTTTTTCACGTCCAACACAACAGATTTTAAGCAACTTGTGTGCCTCCATTGCGAGGGAAGAAGGCATCCGAAATTAGGTTCTAGTGCAGTTTGTGATCAGGGGCACGAACAAACTTTCATTCGATGGAAGATACCTTGACGGGAAGAAGCCTCCCCACGGCTGCTGTGCACCCGACAAAAGTAAGCTTGCTTGAGCGAGCGTCAAAACGTTTCCGTCCTTCGTGTAATAAGTTCGGCTACAGTCTGCATTACGCAGAATGTTCCATCGCCGCCCTTGAGCACAGAAAGGAGTCGGTAGGGCACATACAACTGGCCTAAAAAAAGCCAACATGTCCGTCCTTCTTGTTCATCACCACGTTTGTTTAGAGATTGAAGTTAGCTTCGTTACCACACCAAGCGCATCCAGCAGAATCGGAAGCTAAGTTATACCGAACTTTGTATTCTACGAAGTGTCACCGGAGAAGAAAAAAGTGCTACCGCCAACGCACGTTCACTATACTGTTGCCTTGCTTAGACGCTACCCAAGCTACCCTTCGACTCCGCCACATGGTAGTCGTACAGAAGTTCTTCTCCAGCCTTGACATCTCTGGAAAGTCTGAACACCAGTACTTTTGATGACACGAGCAGCTCCTCAAAGGCCGGGTTTTGCACGTGTCGAATCTTTGTACCGCCCCGGCCCTGCCTCCCGAGGCTGAGAAATTCAGCATCAATTTGTTCGTGTGCCTCCACGTTAGCATCTCCGGCGTCCGAGCCGCTTGAGTTCATGTACCACAAAAAGCAAGACTGGTGAGGCACCATGTACAGCGCGGCCTGTGGACGACTGTTCTCATCCTCTGTGCACAGCAGCCACACTTTAGAAGTCACGTGGTGGCGAGGGACACCGTCCTTGTTGATGGCAGACACGACCTCTTCTACAGAATCATGCACTACGAAAGACCCGAAACAAGCCATAGGCATGGCGTCTCCTGCAGCGATGTCCTCCTGAGCAAACAAGCCGAGTCCGTGACGATTGGATGCCTGCCGGGCGCACGCAAACAAGGCAACGGGGGGTCGGGAGTTAGTTGTAGAGACATAAAGAGAACCAATTTTGTACCTACTTGCTTTTTTTCAAGGTGGTTCACGACCAACACGAAAACCCCAACATTACACCTTTATTTCGAGTCCCATCTCGTTGGCGGCCATGGCGGCGACCTCCTGTTCAGGGGAGATCGCATGCGGTGCGTGTTGAGGTTGCCTCGAAGCCACTTCAACCGCCACCTCCCGTGGCACGTTGCTGTGAGGGATGTTCACGGGACGTGTGTCCCTCGAAGCCCAGACCCGAGGCGCCACCGACCGTGGCACGTTGCTGTGAGGGATGTTGATGGGGCGTGTCTCCCGAGCCCAGGGTCGACGCTCTCCCGACCTAAACTCCTCCTCCCATTTCCCCACTTTCTGCCTCACCGAGTCCACCGTACCGAAGTCAGGAACTAATGCCACCAGCGTACGTCCGTGCTTGAGCGCCTGTTCGCAAACTGTGGTGTCTACGGCTGCATCAGTTGTGAGCACCGCATCGTCTCGGTCGGTATATCTGGCGATGGATTCGGCATGGTGACACATCGAAGCGGAGAATAAAGGTGTGCTTGCTCGGTGTGTCACGTCAGAGCGGGGAAAATGCAACTCAGATATGGGTGCGTACCAAGCAAGAGACGACCGTCGCACGCGAAATAAAACACAGAGCCATATACATTTAGGGTACATTAGGATGACGTTTCGAGTGGGAATTATCTTTAATGGTATGCAGTGGACATCCTAGCCCTCCGTACAAATGAGGATTCACAGCAGCTCAAGTTACGGATACGGGACATCATTTGCACCCCCTTTTTACGACACTACAAAAACAAAATAGCACCATCACTCTCCTACCGTTTAATGAAGAACGTCGTCAGGGGGCCGCTGATGAAAGACCCCTCGGCGGGTCTTCGCGTTGACCACTTCCCTACTTGCGGGTCTAACGCTGCGTCTACATGCGGCTGGACACAGGTTGGCCTGGATGCCCGAGGTGTGTGTGTCGTCTCGCCCTCCTCATCGCTCTCCCGACCCCCCGGGTTGCAAATGAACCTCTCCCCATCCTTGTGCGCGACGACGGTGATGGAGCTCTTGCCTGCGTGGTCAGAAGACCCAGCGTACGTTGATATTACTGGAACCCCCTCTACCCGAAGACCCGCTTTTTTGAACATGTCTTTCGGGAATCATCGTGTGCGTGAGAGGGAAGAGGAAGGACGAGGGTGTTAACGTCAGTCACACGGTATTCTTCATAGTTTTAGGAAGCCGACAACACAACAGCGTGGGAATCCCCGAGCTATACGGAATTTCTCGAGAATATAATCACGTTGCAGGCCATGGATCCACGCGGCACCTGTCAGAAGGAAGGTTTCCTGCACCTCCACAGGTACAGACAGCAACACGGTGCCGTGGTTTTCCAAGTTCTTCGAGAGAGAGTCGAGGGCGGTCTGTAGGCGTTGGTTCAGGGGAGACGACGAACAGCTGATGGAAGTCCCGGCCGGAATGCTGACAAACTGGGAGAGGTTGAGGAACGCCAGCGTGTACCTGATGCCCGCCGGATGCAATCCATCCAGATCCCCAACGGAATGTGGGCAGAATACATCGATCGCAACGAGCCTCGACAAAAGCTGCCTGTGGATGTTGGTCAAGGAATATGGCGTCGTGTGCGTAGACCATGGTTGGTTGTTATCATCGTGGGGTTCGGGAAGAAACGGGGCCATCACATCGGCCAGCTGCTCGCTGTAATCGCCCTCAACCCAAAATAGCTGCCAACAATTCGCAGACGGCACATCGCACGTGCGAGGGCATACACCTTTTAGCTCACCTCCTTACAGCCATGTTCGCGGGCGCCACCTCGTTGGCTGCCGTTGCCGGCGCACAAGCAGCGGAAACAGCGGAAGCCTCTGATGCCTTCGTGGTGGCTGCGAGTTGACCCTTGCCAGCCTTCTGCTTGGGCTGTCCGACCTCCGACGCGGAATCCTCTCTAGACGCGCGTTGACGCTTGTGAAGCTTCTGGTTGAACTGTTCGACCTCCGACGCGGCTTCCTCTGTTAATTCCTTCTCCTTCCTGATGTGGATCTCGTGGAACGGCTTCATTGACTCGTACTTCTTCATCTCCTTATTTAATCAAAAAACATAAATTTTGACGTGGGGTGAAGGGCGTCGTTCGTGAGCTTACCAACATGAAGCCCGCGAGATAAGCGTGGATTTTACGGCGGATCGACCAATNTCCTCTTTTAAGTCCTTCTCCTTTCTGATGTGGATCTCGTGGAACGGTTCCATTGACTCGTACTTCTTCATCTCCTGATTGAATCCAAAAACATAATTTTTGACGTCGGGTGAAGGGCGTCGTTCGTGAGCTTACCAACATGAAGCCCGCGAGATAAGCGTGGATTTTACGGCGGATCGACCAGTGCGGTTATTCGTGCACGACAGCCTACGGTGCGGGTTTCACTAATTTTTGGCTGATCGAGGGCAAAAATGTATCCTCTAGTGCAACGAGAAAGTAGTAAAATGGAATGAGTGGAAAGATATAACAGGTACAACATGCACAATGGTAGATGGGAGAGTCAAGTCGATGCGGAGGGCATTGAGGTGTACCATAGGTGTTATAAATGTGTTGACGTACGTGTAGGTGGGATGGGATTTTAAAGGGCATCGCAAACGCGCAACTATTGGCATAAGTAGTTTAATGGTGATGCTGGTGTTGGTGGAGGTGGGCATGAGGTCGAAGCGAAGGAACCTTCGTGAAATATTTGCGGGGACTTGATGAGGACAGACGGCTGAGAGCGAAAACGCTGATTCCCAAGTCGGCGATGATCCTGCACCCTTCGGCAGTCAAGATCTTTTCAAGACGAAGCAAAAGCTGCAGTTTTTGTGCAATGAGGTCGGAGTGTCGCTATTTCCAAGACTCTTCTATCATATGAGAAAAGCACGCGTCGAATGCGAGTGTCACTGGGAAATCGCTCTTAACAAGCAGAACAAAGAGCCCGCGTGCTTGCCTCGGAGTAGCGTACCCGGCGATAGCTTCTTCGAACGCAAAAGTCGCTTCATTCAGTAGCGGGTTGTCGAAATGTCCAGCGGCAGAGGCTGCTTCCTTGAAGGTGTCGTAGCAGCATTCGTTAACAGAGCAGGCTTCAAGGAAGGACCGTGGGGTCGCGCCGTTCTTGGGCAGAAGCCAAAGGTAGAACATGCCCCCTTCGCTAACTTTGGGCGCACCGAGGAAAAATATCTTCGAAACCTGAGGAAATACATAGGACCATATCGCGGTGAACTCGGTGACTCTCCGTTTCGTATTAACGCGTAGCTTATACAAAGAAATAAATGAGAAAGAGAACGATGAAAATGTACATACCTTGGATGTTGGTCGTCTCTCGTAGACATGGAGGTGGTTAGTCGGGTCGCTCCAAGGCCTCTCGGCCCAAGTGTTTCCAATCGAGTACTGCGGCGGTGCCTTGGACATGTTGAATTGCGAATGGTACGTGACGATGTCCATGTTGTCGAAATGTGATCGAGGGGACGGTGAAAATAACGTTCCAAGAGGCTTGGCTTGGGGACGGTGCCGTCTGCTCTCGTTTGTCCCTGCGTCCTTTCGCCGTGCAAAAGTATCCCTGGCATGAAAACGTTTGAGAAAGGAACATGAGAATCGAAATATGCGGATTGCGTAGCCGATTTCGTCATGATTATCAACATGGAATTGGAAGATCAATCAAAAGAGAGTTTACAACAATGTGCGAGACAACATTAATTTGTGACGATGAAAACATGATGATTTCACCTTCAGCAGAAGGTTGTCGGTAGTGCATATCGTGAATGATCGTCCGCCAAGCAGCTTCATTCAGTCGCACATAAGCCACGTAACGACTTTCCCATTGCTTGATTGTGTCAACCGTGTCTTCAGTCACTTCCGTGATGGCGAAAGAAGTCTGTTCTGGTCCTTTGTAGATGTATCTGGGTAGCAAGGAAAATGCTGATTAGAAAAACAGAGGTGTTGATTAAAAAAAAATAGGAAACATATGATATATGGAATCCCGTGGTACGTCTGCACGGTAATACTTGAAAAGTGGTAACGTCTGCACTGTTTCTTCAAACGTAGGATATATCATTGCGAAACTCCGTCATGTGGATGTTCAAGTAGCGACGATGGACAGAAAAAAATGCAATCGGGGTGCGATAAAATGGAAGGGAGTTCACTTAACGCAAACATGTACTGTAGGACACTGTTAAGGAGGACCCGATTCGTAGGGTATCCGTCGATTGACTTTTACCTGAATCGGTACACCTTCGCATATGGCGTCAGCGATGGGATGTGAACCCGCGCGTGAGATCACCACAGGTTTCAAATCTGACGCCATATGCGAAGGTGTACCGATTCAGGTAAAAGTCAATCGACAGATACCCTGCGAATCGGGTCCTCCTTAACAGTCGTGGACAAGCGCGTCAACGACAGAACCTTCATCTATATCTAGGAGCAAGCTACCGCCCACGGCTTCACTCCTTGAAACTTGGCGTCAGCTGGCATTACACGGTAAGCGGGTGCTGGAAGCGGCTTCCACACTGCTGTGTGTTGTTGCCACGCTTTTTCACAACCACCGGGTTGCTTGTTATTTGGTCTCACCGCCCACGAGAATCTAGACTTAGCCTCTTCTCTGCTTCCTCTCCTGTAGAGATGCTGGCTTGTGATGCTCTTGCAAAGCGCCCGCGGGACTGGGACCTTGCAAAGGATACGCGCCTTGGGGGCCATCGCGATGTTTTGGGTGATTTTTCGTGCGTTCGCCGTCCCTCGAAAGCTATTTTGTCTGCATCGGCGGTCCATGAAGTGATTTCTGTGGCGGATACCCTCTGCATGGAGCGTCCTGAGTTGCTGGCCTTGTGTAGTGGGACCCGAGATGACAGCATGCTTCCCACGTCTGCTACCACCTCTACTGCATTCATGCTGGCGTAACGGCCGATGTCCGCGGATTTTCCTGTAGTGCTCTCCGATTTGACTCCGCTTGCATCGACTTGGAACGCGATGTGTGCACACAATTGGGTGTCAGCCGCCCCACCAGCCTTCCCTCCATTTTTCGAAATCACATGGCACTTTTTTTCGGGGAATCGTTCACCCTCAAGTTTGTGCGTGGCATGGTGTGCTTTTGGCCGCTTTTTCTGCTTGGTTGGATCCGCTTTAACCTCGTGTGCACCAAGCTTTTGTCACTGGGCGTATGCTATCTTGTGGATATCTCCGCCTTTCGCATGGACCTCGGCTTGCTTTTCCCGAAGATGCACCCGACTTTACTGCTTCTGCTGCTCTTGGTGCTGCTGCCTCAACTGCGGTTGGGTATCCTACATGAACTGTTTCTGGCCCTGCTGTCCTTTCCACAATCGATCGTAGCTACCTTCTTTCTGGCCCTGTTCTTGTTAACAAAGAGGACACCATGTCCAGCGGCAATGTGGAACTCCTGGGCGACAATGTGGAAATCCTGGAATACGAACCCGAGGGCGAGGCTCCCACCGCAGAGCAGTTTCCAGCGGCGGATGCAGAAGACGAGAGCCCCCCAATGCCCATGGTGTTCACCGTCGATAATTTGCTGGACAACATCGCCACAGCAACGTTCCTGTCCCGCCCGCTGGAGATGCCTGCAGAAGGTGTCACCTTCCACGAAGAGGACAAATTGGCAACTCTTTTTGCATGGGCTGGCATCAAACAACTTGTCCGTGCACACTTCCCCCCACCGCACACCGTTGCTTTCGGGCACATCTACCACACCCCGTACCTCGCGAAACTTCCGCCTTCTTCGCGGCAGTCCGTGTTCCAGCTTTTGTTCGCTCTCCGTCGTGCCACCTTTCATGAAGGTCCTCAAGGAACGTCGGTGGTGACCCAAGATAGAGGATTCCAGCTGCCTCTTGCTCGTGCTGCTTCGACCAACGACTCAAGCACGATCTACAAGCCCCCCGACAGGCCTCTTCACGCCCTGCGCATGGTTCTGGAGAGGACAAGGACTTCAGTAGGCCGGCGGCTCCGGTGTCCAAGAGCTGGAAGAACCGTTGGGGCGACCGGGATTCGACGGCCAAGAGCGGGACGGACGACCACCACCGCTCCACCCATTCTTCGCGAAGGCGCGGCGTCGGAGATAACAGGCGACGGCGAGCCGTGGGGAACCAGCCTACCGGGGCTTCGCCGGCGAGCCGCCATCGCCGGAGCAGGAGTCGGAGCGCAGAACTTCAACAGCGCACCAATCCTTCGTCTAGGCGTGGGCGCAGCCGGAGCGGAGGCCGGCGTGGGAGAAACACGCCTCCGTCTAGGCGTAGCCGCAACCGGAGCCAGAACCAGAGCGGGGGCAATAGCAGGGCGACCAGCACTGACAGCAGTCGCGGCGGAAAAGGGGGACGGAGGTCAGGCCACGGTAGCAGGCAAGTGATGTATGATCGAGGTGATTTTCGTAGCTCTGGGTTGTTGGGGGAAAACAAGGATGCTTCGGAAGAAGGTTCTCTCTGTTCTTCACCGCTTGTTCTACGCCCTCCCGCTGATGTAGGCCAACCGACCAGGTCTTCTTTGGCTTTCAAACTTGCCAACATGCAACTTCGTGAACGTTCANTACTCACTCTCCTGCTAGCAAATCAAGTAGTGGATGCTGCTGCCGACGCTAATGAACAACCTCCTGTGTCCCCTCACGCTCCTAGCGTGCCACCACCTGCCCCATCTTCTTCCCCACCAACGC